GTATGTGACTATCGCATTCGCGGCGGAGTCCAATTCTGGTTTTCAGCGCCATTACCTTGTATCTGCATCGGACGCATGTTACCGTTTTTAACAAGCTCCACCTGTACAAGTAGTAGTCTAATCTCACCATGGTCCAGTAGTCTACGGTACATTCGGGACGGAGGCGAAGGAGAACCCAAGCGATGAATCACTTTGGTCTTATAGCGAGATGAAGCCTGGGCCCGGTGCTTCTTCCTCAGCCCCAGTTGCTTGTGGCATTCAACGTCGGGGTGTTTTCGTGCTTTCGTTTATATGGTTCGAGGCCCACCCGTTTCCAGGGTTTCTTTTTTCCCTGCCTTCGTTTGGATACTTATTGATGACTTCGCCTTCCACCATATCGACAGCGAACGGTGGGATGAACTTCCTCCGATGCTTCAGAGTCAGGTTTTGAACCGAATGACGCGTGTAACATATGAGCGAATATGGAGGACTGGCTCCCACGCTCCCCTTGTAAGTTGACCATCACCAAGATCTCCGAAGACTTCGTTTGAAGACTTGTCAACGAACCACGACCCCCCCCGGACATCTTTCTCTATTGTTCTGTCCCTCATTTTGCTCCATTCACCGCTGCCGCCGCCACCGCCATCTTCACGCCCAACCTGCTGCATCGCAAACGACCACCAACACCGACTCCTCTAGACCTTCCGCTCGGGAAGAAGACAGAAGGCATCACTGCCCGTATCAAAGACTAAGCCATGAGCACTCGCCTCATGTCCGCCGTGGGAGCAAACTCTACCTTGCGCAACGCTCGCCGCGCCATGCTGCGCAGGGGCCTGCTGGTACCCCGGACTGCACGGGAAGCTCTCAGCAGCAGGGCCCCTCGCTCTCTCCCGCCGACCGCATCCCTTCTCCGGGAAGCACGACCTATGCTGCAGCACCAGTCCGCCAAAGGCGAGGAGTGTGGGGGGGTTCCAACGGGTATCGCGGTGGCGGCGGCGGTGATGGCTGCTGCTGCGCTTGCATCATCCCGGCGGGAGGATGGCCACGCTCCGGAGGTGCTTGCTGCCGAGGCGTACTCTTTGCCGATCGGCCGTACATCTCCCCAAGTTGTGAGTGAATTTCCTGGTCATGTTCGTGGGTGGGGAGGGACCCACCCAGGCTTGCCGCCGTCGTCGCGTGCGTCGAAATGTGCTTGTCATTGCTGGATTTCGGCGTTCAGTCGGGCGTAGGGAATGCGGCGTAAACTCGCCCCGTCTGTTTCTGTCTCGTGTGCCTCCTCCTCCCGGTTACCCTTTGTCGAGACCATTGCAACGAAATAATCGAGGTGTCTTGATAGCCACGTATGAAGTCCGACTGCTTGGCACCTACTGCCCCTCCTTCCCCCCGTACAACTTTCGGTAACCCATTTTCGTCCGAACCGCCCTCCCCCCCCCGCCCGCCCCTTCACACCACACGATAGTGTAACTGCTTCATCGAAGTGTCCCGAGAGTCGCGCATGAAGTACGAATGGGACAAAGAGACGAACATGCTCAAGCTGGACAGGGTGCTTCACGGAGCGGCCTTCTACCCCCACGACTACGGCTTCATCCCGCAGACTCTGTGCGGAGACGGTGACCCATTGGTACGGTGTCAATCAAGGGTTGGGTTGGGCCGGGGTCAGAAAGAAAGCACGGGATTGGAGGCATGATCTCGTGCATCTCCGAGCCTTTCAGCCGTGGATCTTATCGTTCGATTGGGGTGGTTTGTTGATCTGTACCTATTCAGGCAACGCCTATCCAACAAGGCGGATACCAGGCGAAAGCGTCGCCATCGTCGTCACAATTCGGGCTGCTCTTTCGGTCGCGCATGCACCCGTTACAGGACGTGCTCGTGCTGGGAACGTCAGCGCTGCAGCCAGGGTCGATAGTAGACGTGCGGCCTTTGGGCTTCATGTGCATGGGTAAGTGAGAAACAGCAGTCGAGGTGTATGTTTCTTTTCTAACGCTCCGACGGAAAATCCTACTGCTGCTTAGGTAGGAACCTCCTTTCAGTACCAAACGAACGGATTAGAACACGCAGGTACTTCTACACCCTGCTTCACCTTGTTTCACTCCCCTTCCCCAAATTTGAACCTTTGCCCCGGTCCCCTTTTACGAGATCTGTAGGTTTCCCCCTCATCCGCATGCTCAACCGTTGAAATGGCACCCCTCTGGTTCTGATCAAAGCGGCAGTATCTACGTTTTATCTTATACATGCATATGTAATCGCCACCTATTGTACGTTTCTAGAGTAGACGAAACTCCGTGTGAGCGTTGTCAGCTTTTATTTCGAACGGATTATTTGTTTTATTATGGCGTAGAGGACGAGAAGGGTCTAGACGAGAAAGTTCTCGCGGTGCCGGACAAGGACCCAAGGTTCAACCACATGACGTCGTTGAGGGACGTTCCGGAGCACGTGTTGCGCGAGATCACCAACTTCTTTGAGGTGTGTACGAAGGATACGTGGTTGACATGAACGAACGCGCTTCTTGAACTTTCTTTGGTCTTGGTCGGTTTTTGGTCCCTGAGCACTCTCGACACCTAGGGATTTGAGAGTGCTACGAGGCACACTTCGGTGCAAAAGGTCGCCACCGCTGGCACGTACTCACCCGGCGATAGCCTCGTCACCACCACCTTGCCGCCCACGGGAAAAAAATGAAACGTTCACCCCTCGTCGCTGACGCGTGCGCAATTTTGCGTGCCCGTTCTCGCTGTTTGGGCGTTGATGACAATGCAGACATACAAGCAGCTGGAGAAGTCCAAATGGGTGAAGGTGAGTCTGAGGTGTAGACCTAGGGAGTTCTGTCGTGCTGAGCACATTCATTCCCATGAAAACACAAGAGTGTGCTCCATCCCCTCCTATTCGGCTCAGGCCAATCGTAACAATAACGTCCATTGAAGGCACCTGTCCCTCCCTTCACTCCCGAACACACATAACACTTCAACCTATTGTGTGTCTCTTTATTGTTAGCATCGTGTGTCTGTGCGATAGAAGGTGAGAGGCGCCTAGGGACGGACGTATTTCGCTGTTTGTGCTCACCAACGTAGCCTGGCACCGGCCCCCCAACCCCACGAGCCACCGTTGGGAAAGATGGGTCGTCGGTGATCGGTCCTGTGGTAATATTGCCCCGCCCTCTCGAGGACGCATGGTACCGCTAAGACATGCAAAACACATGTGCGACCCCTCCCCCGCCACGTCTCCCCACGCCACCCCCATGCTATAAGGGTTTAAGTGCTAAGATCTGAGCGTCCCTTCTAGACTAGAGAAAATTCAACAAGTTCTGGCGGGAGCTACAACTCCCAAAGATCATTTTATCAAGGGAAGAGCTGTAGCACTGTCCCTACAAGCTGGGGGGGTACGACCCCCTTCGTTCAGTCTACCAAAGATCAAGCCAACAGCAAGCACAGCTGGTGGAACAGATCATTAAGCAAGGCATGATAGTCTTCACCGGTGTAGGTATCTGTTTATGCTTGCAGGTGGGTGGGTGGAAAGGAACGACGGACACCCACGAGTTGATCGAGAAGACCCACGAGAAGTTCCTGGAGGAGAAGAAGGGGATCAAGGAGAAGCAGCACAGCACCGCCGCTGTTGCTTCCGCCACCGCCGGCGCCGGCGCCGCTGAGAGGAGGGTAAAGCATGCCATGGACTAAGTTGGCCACTTGTGCTGTGACAGCGGCAATGACTATGGAAGGAGGGTGGTGATGTGCACATTGGTTGATGGGGGGTAGGTTTGAGCGAGGGAAGGTACTGAACACCATGCACGGTCGTAGTCTTCAGACCGTAGGCCCTTCCATCCCTAAACAGCCGTCGGCGGCGCGGCGTGTTGGTTTCTTACCGATTGCATTTGGGGAACGGGGGCGAAGAGCGGGGGAGGGCAGTTGCTTTGTGGGGGTGGTCCTGTCCAAAGCACGGTTTCAGAGCTTTTTTGGAAATTGTTGTACGATTGTGTGTCTGCATCATCTTGCTCCCCCTAAGCGCCACTCTGTTCTACCCGATGACGACGCCAAGGTCACGAAGCGCTGGCAAACGACCCGATACTGTTCACATCACGAGAATCTGTAGGCATGGTCCTCCCCCCGTTTGACAATTCGATGCCAAATGCACCTGAATGTAGAAAACATATCTGCGCTGTTACCCCTCCCCTCCCTCCGCTCACCATGCAGTGTATGATGTCCCTACGATAGATAGTGGGAGGTAAGATGAGTTGTTGTAGGTCCATTTTCCCACCGGCGTGTTTCAAGACCGTCAGTTCTCGTGCAACGAGCTTTTAGCCTCTAATGCGCCGTACATTTGTCATATTCTGTCATGCCAGAATTCCCGCGTATAGCAAAAAGTGATCATGTTCGTCTACGCTAGGTGGCAATGTACCATCTCATGTCAGCCACCCCACATCAAAACCGAAACTTGCCGAACAATGCAATCAATCGTGTGTCGGTGTCGCAGGGTAAAGAAAACCCGTTGGCCGACGCACCTGGGCAATGTTGATGCCACTGATTTCGTCGATCTCATATTTAGGGGTGGGAGGAAGGGTGCTTCTGGTCACGACGCAGTTAATGGAATGGGTGTGTGTAAATACGGAGTGGGGTGTTGAGCGTATTGCTGGCGAGGTCTGGGCCAACCATCGGAGGGTGCTTTGCAAACGTCCGCCTCTTGAAGTCGGTGAGAGGGAGAAAGCACTTGCATCAGCGGCGCGTTGAAGCCACTGTACAAGCACCAACTACGCCGAAGCCGTCGGCGGCATGGGTATACTGGTTGGGCGCGATCTTCTCTTTGCCCCTCGGGGGCGGTGTGCTTGGTCTGTGGTGCGCGCTAAGCTGTGGCGTGATTTTACCGCTAGGAGTATGACAGTATGATGGGAAGACGCAAGCATGATGTGCTGCCAAGAAGATGGGGGAGGAAAAGTGTTGGTTTGTCCAGTACCCGTCAAAATCCGCAAAAGACTTTGTTTTTGCCCGACTCGCTCCATTCTTGTAGTGAAAGCGCAAATTACTTTGTAGATCCAAGGCAACTCTTGACTCTTTCGAAAACATGTGTCTACTTCTCCTACCGAATTCTGTGGGCCTGTCTATGTTTATCCACCGGTAGCGTACTCCGTGTAATTGACCCCTTGTCGAGTATATACCGCGGAGTTCCGTGATATGCACGGGTCCAACGTTTCTTAGTCGGACGTTTCGATAGCACAGAAGGAGCCTGAAGCCAAACAGCAGAGTATTGGCATCGACATTTTCCTCGCTCCAGCTATCGAGAACAGAGCGCACCAAAAAATGATCACACGTGTGAAACACAACATTATATGCCCGCAGTCTACCTGTCTGTCAACCCGACCCCAGACCGACAGATTGAGCGTGTGGGAGACACCGGAGGGAAACCATTTTAGAGAAACCCGTTCAGCGGAGAACATCAATACTCTAAAAGAGGTCGACAATGCAATCGATCCATAGAGAAGACGAGGGGTAGGGGAAGAAAATGTTTCTTTGAAACCAGGCGGAGGAATAACCTTCGTCTCACCCCAGTACGACTTACACCTATCCATAATGTACAACAGCAACCCACCCACAACCCACAAACCGTACTGCCAATGCACCCCCCCCCTGTGATCTAAGGCGGACAATAATCCACATGTCAAAATAAGAGTTGAGACGTACCGTCCTGGATATAAACCATCTAGCTGTTGCGAGAAGACGGGCGCGGCTTTCGCAACGTAGCCACTGCGATGGTAGAGGGAAATGAGCAATCCAACGGCGCGCCGATTCACCGCACGCACCTACAGGTGCAAAGTCCCGAAGCATTGTTTCCATGTCTCGAAAGCATGAGACCTCCTTCGCAATGTAAGGAGGTAAACTCACAGACAAAACCACCGGTGTTATTTCCAAATAAAAGCCGCCGACAGCGACCCTGGTGCCCGCCAACACGCACGAAGACACCACGACAAACGAAGCAACATCGATACAACAGAGAATCATACAAAACTGCTTGTGCTTGTCCACGCCAGCCGCGTTGCCTTCTTCAAGCTGTATCGGCCTCTCTCTCTCTCTCTCTCCGTCTCAGTCCTCTTTCTCTCTCGCTCTGGGTGCAAACGTCATGTTACCACACGCACTCCGCGCTGTCTCCTTTCTTCGAAAATCACGTTGGAATACACTCAACCAAACACGCACACGTGTGCTCGACGCAACGCAGTACCCGGTCGCCCCGGTGGTCTAGTGGTATCCTCGTAATCCGCCAGTCGCAAAGGTCGTGAGTGCGAATCCCCATGGGGTGAAAAATTTACGAAATGTGCGGTTGAAAGCGAATTATAGCTGACAAGCTCTCATGATTACCAAACTTCGACGTTAGCACCATTGACGAGGGAAAGGGACGGCTGGACCCTTCTCGCGATAAAAACAAATTCAGCACGCAACGCAGGAGGAAAGTGGGGCATGAAAAAAAAGAAAAAAAGAAAAAAGCCCTCGTGTTTACCCCCTCCTGTGTGACCCTGGATGGTTGTAGTTGTACGAAAAAATACGCTAAAAGTGTAGTACACGTCTCACCACGAAAAATGGGGGGACTGTCGCCATAATTAATAGGACGTAAACACACACAACACACACAGTACCACGCGCGTTCTGTAGTACTACAACTTTTGCCGCTTGACCTTCCCCTGAATGACCTTGGACGTTGCCAGCTTGTTGAACGCGCGGGACTTCCAGCCCACGTACTCCTCTGACGAGCGGTACCTGTTCGAAACAAACGCGTTGTTTGTGTGTTGAACTCCCATTTTGCTCTGAACCTGGTAAATATGTTCATCCTTTGATATGTTTGGATGCACCAGCCGGGGCCACGCAGGCGGAATTCTTACTCTCCATATTCCTTCGCGGAACTAATCACAAAGCAGTACCGCGAGAAGGGCGAGAAGGATTAAGTCGCCCGTTTCCCTAGTCGTGCGTCGAGCTCTGCTGTCAAAATGTTTTTAAAATCGCTGTCAAACGGCTTGCGCCACCAACATAGGCATAGCCATCGAAGCCCCCGTCCGTGGGGCCCCGTGTTCGACGGTTTCAGTCCGCTTGAGTCGAAAATAGCTCGAAAGTCGCCCGTGCCACGGGTAACGATGCCAATGCTCGTCTCGACGACGGAGCAAGCTGCAACAAGATGCGTGCCAACAACACACATATCCACACCGCACGGCTGAGCGAGTGTGCCACTACTGTAAGGGCAACATGTAATATTTCGAAGCAGTCTCTCTACCGCACGCACGACGACAAAAGAACCCCCCCTATCAGCCTACGACCATGCCCATCCATCCGCCCACGGCGCCGCGAAGCGACACCACTTACCCCGCGTTGAACAGGCTCTTCTCGAGGTTGGGCAGGTCCCTCGTGAAGCTGTTCACGTCCTCGTTGAGGCTGTTGAGGGAGCAGTCCAGCAAGCGCTTGAAGCGCTCCCCGCTGAAGACCATGAGCAGGGTGTCCTGCAGCCGCTGATCGCCCATGAGCGACGCGAGGACCACGCCAACCTGCGCGCGCGATGGCGATCATGGAAAAGCGAGGGGTGTTTCCGGAGTTCATTTGATCCCATGCGTTTGAATTCCATGTGTTTCATTTTTTCGTGATATTTTTGGTCGGGACCCGCTGGGTGGGTGGGTAGGTACCCGGCTAGGGACTTGCCCACACGAGCATGTTCCGGACAACCTTAATCTTGTACGGTGTGATGGAAACGTGGCGAGTGTTTGTCCACTGCGTGCAGAAGGCTGACGTGAGGCACTGCTAAGCAAGCTGTGTCGTGCAGAGGCGGCATGACATGAATCAGCGCTCCTGTGGCAAAAAAAACAACACTTGAGTTGACCAGGCCGGGGCATGCACCATAGGGACGAGCCATCCTGCCATACCCCAGCAGCAGGGGCAGTGCACGCTACGGGCGGGAGTGCGTGACCGATAGAATAATGATACACGAATGGGCTGGTGCACACCATGGGTTTATCGATAATATGTGGCACATCGATACACCATGGAGATGGTACTTAGAGAAGTACCTGAGGACTGACGTACTTCGGCCTTGAACATGCCACGAGAGAATAGAGGTGTTGATGCTACAATGCTGTTCACACCCAAGATCTCAACGACGGGAGGATTCCAACGCCGAGAAAGCATAAGATGAACATGGCTTCTGAGAAGGTCTCTGCGGAGGCTATCCGACAACGTGCGGTGCTTGTAACACTCCACACACCCTGACGTTGATACACACCCGTCCACGAGAACCCGACAGCAAGTGGCAGCACGATGACACCCCTGCGCGCAAATCCACAGGCATGTTTGACTTTCCAAGATATCATCATCCGAGGCGCTAAGAGATAGGTCACATGCATTGTGTGTGTGGTACTATACTGTGAGACTGCGGGTCATCGCACAGGGCCTGCAAAGCTCGATTGCTCCATGAATAAGCGGTTGTGCGAAACGGTCGAGCGGCCTAGTGAAGGTCTCAGCGAGACATTTCCATACGCACCCTTTTGGAATGGACGCCCTTTTGGTTGTGGAGTAGTCGATACAAGCAAGTCTATCACCCGCAATGTTACGGTTTTTCGTTGAATCCCTTGGGCTCTACACACAAAAAAAAGGCAACAGCAAGAACAAGCGTGTGTGAGATGCATATTGCACAAAAACGTGGCTCCTTTGCACCTGATACTCTTCGCGGCTTAATCTTCGCCAAAACATCGGACAGTGGCAGGGTGGGGGCAACCTGGCTGGGGGTCGAAACGTCAAGATCATCGGTCTTCAACAGCGTTCAATACAGACCCGCCACATGTTGGACTGTCGTTCTGGAAGCCTGTAGGGTACCCCTATTATTCGAGAAAAGAGACGTCATATCTAATCGTGCCATATTATAGCTGATGTCAAGAGTGCCTCCTCCAACGTATGCCTACCTCGTAGTAGAATGGGCACCGCTCTCTAAGGTTGACAGCGCCTGGGCCGGCCTCCAACTGCTCTCGGAACCTGAGGGTGCGCGCGTGAAGGAAGCGTCAATGTCTCTGTCTCATCTCTCTCCTTGCCTCTGTCTGCCCGTCTCTCTCTCGTGCTTGCATTCACAACGAAATGTAACCAAGTGTTCCTGCGTAGTCGCAGGGACTCTACCACAAGTCTGTTATAGATGCAATGCATGACCTATGTGAACCAGGCAAGGAGCATGATTTGGACTTTGACAGCTTGCCTGTCTGTGTAGTGCTTTGGTAAGTCCAGGTTCACCATCCCCTTGCCAGCGAGAGGCCGCGCCATCCATAGCGGAAAATCCACCTTTGGTCGCCGAGGGCGGCGGTAGCGGCGATAGTGGCAAAAATACAACCGACAAGCGACAGCAGCAGGACGGAGGAGAAACATAATACAGCCAGAAGAACAAAGAGCAGAGGTGGGTGCATGCGTGATTATCCGCTGCTGCTCCAGCTCTCGAAACGCGTGCAACAACTCATGCCGTGAGCATGCCGAAGTACGCGCATTGCGGAGCTGCACATCCGGCGTTGTAACGCAGCGTGAGGATTTTAGTATTGCCATGTTCTGCTACCTCAATCGTTCTTGTTGTTCGCCTCAGAAGACGCACATTATCGCCACTGTGTGTGATGATGCTGCCTAATGTGGCCGGGGCGAAAGCGTTCCTCTACCATCTCTGTCTTCATCTGCTCCTCCTATGTAGAACAACAACAACATGCACCTAGTCGTTGTCGCACTTTGGCCTACGAAACGGAGTTAGTTGCAAATTCGAGCCTTCGATATAAGACAATGCCCAGTCGTTAGTGGTGTCCCCATCTCGAAGACGTACCTTCGCCCCTTGCGAAAGATCCTCGTCTGACGTCGTGGGGTCGAGAACGCCCATCCCGACGGCATCCAGGGTGAACACGCAGGGCACCCGTATCTCCTCGCTGAGGATGGTGTCGATGTCGTAGTAGCCCCCGGCGGCCATCGCCCCTGTCGTGATCTCCCACACTCACCACCCTGCTAAGACTGCTGCACTTCTTTGCTATTTGAAGCAGGTTTGTTTTCCGAACTGGGAGATCAGCAAAGCGTTTCGCCTCTCCTTCTGAGCCGCTCTCTGTCCGCCGGCTGCTGCGCAACAAGCACGTTGCTCAAACGGCCAACCGTTCCCCCCCAATTTCAAATATTGGTCGAAGGTTTGCCGCTATTTTTGTCACCACCGGCCAAGCCCTTTCACGCTTCGCAGGTATCCCGACCCCAACGAGGATATTGCTGATCCGACACCTGCCCTCTTCCACGTCCTTACTCTCCCTCCACTCTGCGCGCCGCAAGACTGAGAGAACAAGAGAGATTGCCGCAGCTGAAAGGCGGATGTGGTGAGAATGGGTTTCAGTCTAGTTCTCGAGGCGTTATTTTGGGCTCAGAGTAACTGTCAGACTATCTTCTGTTCGGGACCGTCGGTGAGTGTAGGGTACTGACGACTGTGTACACGACAGGACCGACTGTTCAGGTCAGCAGATACAATTAAGGGACCGCTGTAGCGTGCAGTGACGACCTAGGGCCAGTTCTCAGCAAGAAGTGCTGCGAATAATTACAAGTGCCACCATAGGCCCAAGTTGGACCAATCAGGGAGACAAAATGACGTATGACATAGATGACGTGTGTCGTTGTATAACGGATGACCTTTGAGGTAGGACCGTCCGGAAGCTTGGCTCCGTTAAGCCTCGCACACCAGATCACTCTTGCTTCCTACCCTCAGTTCGCCGTACAAAACTGTGAGCAGAACAAGCTTGAGTCAACCAAGAGGCGAACTGCTGAGGCAGAGCACACACACAAACCACGCTTGAACGCAAGTGCATCGCACGTCCAAGCTAGAACCTGCAGAACTAAAGAGGCGGTATCAGTTCTCCCCTCACGGACGATCGGGAGTGCCATTTCGTTGAAGCTTGTTTCCTCGTGAGGGGACGGTGATATTGCTGTTGCATCATCCCTCAGGAGTGCGCCATACATCGTGACCAAGCAAAGCAGTAAAATACCTAGAATGTAGACGACTGTTTCATTCAATCAACAAGGTTCTTTCACCCACTCTGTCTTCCCCCTCACAACTCGCAACATGGAGATAATTACCAGTATGGTATAATACATCTGATTTCGATGGTCTCTGAGGGGGTGGCGCAGATGTGTTTCTGTTTCTGCCGCGATGAAGGGGGTTCCGCAACGCTATAACCAGGGACCTCTTGCTGCGGCGCCGCATGGGCTTGGGGCTTGGGCACAGCCGTCGCAGCCTCGCGCGTAATAGTTAAGCTGCAGACAGCAGTCTACCGTACAGCTGTTGTCGAGAAAGGGATACGGTGCAGTATGGAGAACGACGGCGTAGTTTTGGCCTCGGCTGACCCTTCCCCATCGCTCGGGGAGGTGCCAGCAGTGGTAGAAGAGACGATCGGCGGTTCAGATGAGCAGGAGGATCCTGCTGCTGCCGCCTCTGCCGTTGTTGATGAGGAGGGCGACGACGGACCGGCGGCGGCGGAGGAGGATGGTGAAGGCGAAGGAATCAGCGACGACGAGGAAACTTCGGGTCGAAGGAGGGGAAAGGGGGGAGAGGAGGAAGAGGAGGGAGAAGAGGAAGGGAGAAGGGTGGTGAAGGATCCTCCTTACCAGTACCCAACTGGCTTGGTCGAGATCGATGAGCAGTGAGTATGCGTAGTCTATTCATGCGCAGCAGTATACGATACAGCAGTGGTCTGTCAACCCGCCGCATCACTCCCGGTTTGACGGATACGCCGGAGTTTGCCTTAGTGGCCACACCGACACGCCCCCACACTGCAGACAGCACAGTACATGCAGGACGTGCTAAGTTTCATGGTGCCCCATGATTGTTGTTGTTGTTGTTGTTGTTGTTTTCTTCACATTAAAAACCGTGCCGATCTCTCTCTACCCAGTACCTTCGTATGTCCGTACTGATACAACACTCGACGCGGTCGATTCCCGTAATCGCAGGCTAACTTACNGTTGTTGTTGTCTTCACATTAAAAACCGTGCCGATCTCTCTCTACCCAGTACCTTCGTATGTCCGTACTGATACAACACTCGACGCGGTCGATTCCCGTAATCGCAGGCTAACTTACCCTAAAAAGGTACACTCAAATAAAATGGTCCCGAGGGGTCCGCAAGTCATTAGAAATCAACGCCAGATATTCTGGAGCCCTCCACTCCCTCTGCGCGCTATGCGAGGTAACAACCGAGACTAGGGATTACCATCACGGGCCGGAGAGAATGAGGTACACCCCCTTGGTTCAATCTTGGTACNAACAACTGAGACTAGGAGTCACCATCACGGGCCGGAGAGAATGAGGTACACCCCCTTGGTTCAATCTTGGTACTTCACAGCGCAAGCAGAAACAAGGCCATCTGGCACAGAAAAAGAGAGAAAAAAAGAACAAGAGAAAAAGAGAAGAAAATAAAAGGAAACAGTAAGGAAAGAGAAAATGAAATAAAAAGATCGAGGACAAAAAGGGACCAGGCCGAAAATAGCAAGAAATAAGAGACAGAAAGAGGCACACGGTGGAGAGACCACTAACGACAAGCAAACACG